GAGTGATGATTGCTTGACGTTTGGGAGCCTTCTGTCATGACTAGAGACTAAAGGATTTGTTTGACCTGGCTTACAACAAACGTCCCCATAGACGGCGCCAATTGTTGATGCAAAAATCTGCCAAGGCATGGAAGACGACCTGAAAGGTCGGCTGGCAACAGTTGGAGTATTATTTAGGGGACCTGCAAAACAGGTCGGCGGATGCTTAAAGCTAGAACAGGTCGACGAGTCCACGTAACTAGAACATGTCGGCAGGTCCACGAACCCAAAACAGGTCGGACGTCGACGTCCCCCTCCAACAGCTACCATTTTATTGATAAGATACATCCAGTGATGGATGTAATAGTATATACACATGCAAACAATCACTATCAATTTAATCCTTGAATTTTTAGAATAGTGTCTAATAGTTCAAACTTTACAAAATGTCTAATAAGTCTCCATACTTTCAATTTTATGCTTAATACATCCATAAATTTTAAAAGTGTCAAATAGATATTTGAAGTTTCACTTTTTGTATCTAATAAATTATTGACATAATGCATATTTTTTAAGAAATCACGAATCTATTAAACACAAAATTGATATTTGTGTTTGATATATTTGTGAAATTAAAAAAAATTGAATAGGTCAGAGATCTATAAGATGCAAACCAAAAGTTAAAAAAAGTTAAAAGACATCTTAAATTTAAAATTGAGAGTTTAGAGACTTATATTAGAAGCAAACTTAAAAATTTAGAGACTAAACTAGTAATTTAATGTAATCATTATTTCCACTTGTGTATTTCTTTGTTTGTTAGTTACATTTTTAAAATGATTTTTGTTGTGGGAAGAAAATATGGAGCCCCACGTGGCCCACCCTAGCCTTGACACATGGATCTGGGGTAAACTCGGGTCCTCCAATGTGAGAAGGATGAGAGTGCAGAGAACTGTTGAACACTTAGTTCGACACTGACCTGAGTATGCCGATTTAATGATAACATTTTGTGGGAGGGTGATTTAGGTGTCAGGGAATGTTTTCCTTTATGTCGCTGTGTCGCTCCTGCAAAGAGATACAAAGTGTTCAGACCTCATAATTCCCACATTCGTAACATTGTCCACCTTATGAAAGATTGAGTCATACCCTTCTAAAAGGTACACACTCTTGAGTCATACCCTTCTAAAAGGTACACGCTCTTGTAAAAATCCTAGCACTTTGAGTTATAACTTAGACATTAGAGAACATTTGACGGAGCTCTAATAAGTTCTAGTTTATGTTGCAAGTTGATTAAGAGACGAAGAAACCACAATACATTTGTCCAAAAATAAGCACCAACCATTTCAAAATCTAAACTAAAATTTTAGAACTTTATCATTGTTTTTAGGGCAAAAATAAGCACCAACCATCTCAAAATCTAAACTAAAATTTTAAAACTTAAAAAAAGAACTTTATCATTGTTTTTAACTAAGGATTCAGATGTTTTTTAGAAAGGTATAAAAATTTCCGTGAAAGCAAGCAAGCAAGCCTAATTTCTTAATAACATAAACGAAAAACAAGATGGTCCTAAATTTTAAGATTAAAATTAATTCAGATATATTTTTAAAGAAGAAAAAAAAACCTTTTGAGATGGTTTTTATATTAGGGTTGGGATTGTAGAATTAAATGAAGAATAAAATAAATATATATTTGTTATCCATCCACCGCTCTCTTTGATCCGGTTCCAAGCTTCACCTCTTCTGCAAAACCAACTGTAGCTGGAGGCTGGAGGCTGGACGCTGAACGGTAGAGAAGAGGAACCCAGAAGAGATAAAGGCGCCAATCGACTTGTCATAGATGGAGCAGGGGAAACAGGGAGTGCTAGTTAAATTGAATCCTCCTCAGAACCCATTGGAGCAGATTCAAGCTCGTTTCAAGGAACTAGAAAGTGGGTTCAAGTCGTGGTTGGCCAAGCAATCTCTCCCAGTTGAGGCCGCTGTTGTCACCGCCACCAGCGCTGCGCAGGGCGCTGCTATTGGTGGGTTTATGGGCACTCTCACCAACGACGTTTCTTCGTCTCTGCCCACTCCTCAAGCCGGCCTCAACCCTCAGGCCATGGCATCTTTCAAGCAGGCCCAGGTGCTACTTTGGTCTCTCCTGTTCCTTGTTTTGTTACAATACTTTTCCCGAGCGGCAAAGAAGGAGAGAACTTCTTTGAATATCATTGAAAACGACCTTATTTTTGAAATTCAGTACATTAATGAACTAACATGATGTTGTGGAATTTGGGGGAATTAAACCTTCTAGTTTTCTTTTAAATTGCAGGCTCTTGCTGGAGGTCCTTTAATACAAGCTCGCAACTTTGCTGTGATGACAGGTGTTAATGCTGGCATATCCTCTGTTATGAAGAGATTGAGAGGCAAGGAGGATGTCCAGTCCAGGTGAGGTTTTACGATTGCTCCATCGTTTGCTTTTCCTGGTTGATGACTTTCCGAACCTCGACCTATAATCAGACTTTGCATCCTGGGATCTGATAAATTCATTTCATTTTTTTTAATACGAAATTTGTTTCATAGAAGAAATGGAATTATAAAAGAGGGATAGAAAAGCCAAGCTACAAATTTTGTTTCTAGCTTTGTAATTTTGTATGAATCACAACTCTAATTTTCTGTTTTCTTGTAAAGAAGAAGAAAAAAAAAAACAAAAACTCTTCCAATGATGAAGAGTACTGAAGAGTGTAGCTAAAAAATAGACGATAAAATTTTCTCCATGGCCGGCCACAAAAATGAGAAAATTCAAAACGTTCCACTGTTCAGGGAAGGATTAAGTTCCAAAAGAAGGCTCTTACAAAAGGATTTTCCTTTTGGAGATCAAATCTTTGAATAAATGGCCAATATCAAAGGGAATTGAACTATTTTTCAATTCGCTGGTGGTAGCCCCCCTCTTTTTGGCTCCTTTCTCATCAACCTTTGTAGACATAGTAAAAGGAGGAAGTCCCTAAGTGAAAACTCTTTATATCTCATACAAGTAGTAGTAGGGCAGGCCCTTTGCTGAGTAGTGGGGTAGGGCAAAAGAAAAAACATGTTGTAAATAGGAAAGATCAGAGAGAATGTGTTGTCTTGCACACAACAACTTATTTATTTATTTATTTTTATTTTTTATTTTTTTGAAATCCGTGTGTCCGGGCCAGCTTGCACGCACCTCGACTATTCACGGGCCAACTGCCTGACCCTACTACATTTGGTTGACAAGGTAACTCGTAGGATATTAAATCCTAGGTAGGTGACCACCATAGTTTGAACTCATTCCCTCTAAGTCCTTTGCTATTTACATTGGCCCTCATTGACCACTTAAGCCATCTCATGATGGTTCACACCAACTTAATTTTTTAACTGACTGTTTTGTCAACCTTCTTTTGTTCTGTTCTTCAATCTTGGTGGCTAAAGTCACCGCATCTGTAAGGTACCCCATAGGTTGTACTTTCACTTTTTCTTGAATGTCTTGCCTCAACCTATTCACATATGTTGCAATTTGTTGGTGTTTGATTTCGGCAAGATTATTCTGTGCACTTAGCATATGGAACTCATCTGTATAATCAACTAAAGATCTTGTCCCTTGCTTGCACTATTGATTTTGATTACATTTGTCCTAGTTTATCGGCAAAAATCTTTCTTTCATCAATTTTTTCATTCTTAGCCATGTCCTGATTGTTCCCCTCCACGCTTGCTTCGGTTCATCTGGAGTTGATCCCACCATGTGGAGGCTCCACCCTTGTGTTTCAAAGCCACTAGTTTTTAACCTTCTTTTCCTAAGGGGTATTCATATAATCTTGGTGTAAACCAAAAGGGTGAAATTCTATCAATGGTGATCTGCTTTTTTTTTTTTAATAAAATGAATACTAGTATTTATATTAGTAGTCGTGGCAACAATTGAGGGCCAAAGTGATGGCTCTCCTTCTCCCCTTCTCCTTTGCCTTCTTCACCTGCATATCTCCCTTGACCTCTCCCTAACCATTCCTTTGCCAACAACCTTCTCTTCCCCATGTTAACTACCTTTGCATCAATGACGTGCTCACTCGTCCTCATGGACTCCAGGAATTGTTCTCGTTTATTGATGATTGAAAGAAAAACCTTCTCCATCGTAGTTACAGAGGAAGTCGTGCAAAAATCTCTGGAACAATAAGAGACCAATCTTTCTTCATAGCCTTACATTGGTCTTCTCTGGCTTGATTATCTAATTGTTTCTCCTCCCTCATCAATCTCCCCATCAATCACAGATCCTTCAAAGAAACTAGGTTAGATGACCAAACCCTTTGGGCAGAGAAAACCACCAATAGAAAAGGAGCCTTGGCAGAGATAGAAAAGCTCCAGAACAATGGAGGTATGAACAAGATCTTGGTTCCAATGGGAGAGGAAAGAAACAGATGTCGCTCCTTTATAATCTTACTACAGGCTTTCTTCGCACCCCACATACAGTGACAACGATCACCCCTCCTCCCAAGTTGTTACACTCACCATTAAATAAGTCTACCTCCTACTGTGAGGCATTAAAGAAAGGAGAACCAGTCACTATTACTTGACCACCGATTACATTAAAGAACCTTGCCCCCATCGAATAGAATTATCCACATGCAAAGGTTAATTTGGACACATCTATCCTAGCATGTAGAAAACACTTCCAGTTCAAAATTATGAGGGACCTACGAGAACACATTAGTTAAGCCCTTAGCCCCCAAGGGGTAGCCCAGTTGGCAAGGGGGTCTCTGTGGCTTAGAGGTCTTAGGTTCGAACCTTCTGGTGAGCTTAATACCCAAAATCCTTGATGTCTCTCGAGTCCGGGCCTTGGGGCGGGCCCAAGTGCCCCTGGGTATAGGGGAGCAAAGCTCTGACTCCTAGTTATAAAAAAAAACACATTAGTTAATTTTGCTCTTTGAATCTTTTTTCTGCAGACATAGCCTTAATGATATGCAAGGGAGAGGATCACACACTCCTTCATAATATGAAGGACTGGTACCAAGTAGGTCCATTTTAGTTGAAATTTGAACCTTGGAGCAGAAAGTTTTTTATGGCTTCACCTCTTGTACCTTCATATGGTTGTTGGATAAAGATCCGCAAGTTGCCTCTAGATTAATGGGATGATGAGACTCTGAGCTATATTGATTGGAAACCAATATGGAGATTTCATTGAAATCTGTAAAAGGACCCCTCACACTTAGATATTTTAGAAGTGATATTTTAGAAGCTACCATCAGAGTGAAACAAAAACCCACAATTATTTATTCTCGCGATGGTAGCAGTAAATTCACCAAACCATGAGAAGATTTTTGTACACATTGATCTTTTCTTTGCTGTAGAAAACTTCCTAGGTTATTCGGGCAGAATCCATGGAAACTAGCAAGTGGCATAGACCATCAAATCGAAGGACATTGGAGAGGATAGTATTCTGGGACTGTACCCCAAGCTCTGTGCACATCTGCACCCTATTCTGACAACAGTTGTCATGTGTCAATGGACAATGGTCATGTTTCAGGCTTTCCTTGTACAAGCGTTGACATTGTTGACTCTACAAGTATAGAAAAATTTAATACCACCAAGGTTCCCTCCACAAAACTTGCTCCCTCGATGCTCGTTAAAAATGCCATAAGCCAAAAAGGGAAAGCATTTATGAATGAGGAGTTTGCCAAAGAGTTTTTGCCCGATTGCAACCATTAGTAAATGTCTCCCTTGTTTATAGAACCAAGTGCCAACCCTGACCCTAACCTTATCCCTGACCACACCCTACATCCGCCCTTATCCCTATCACCGAAATCTTGCCAGATACACACCAGCCCAAAAAGAGCCGTTGAGATTACCTCAAAAAAGACTTTCTTCATCCATGGTGCAAAATTCTCCACCAATTTCATATTTTATAACCTTGAGTCTGACATTTTTCTCTCTAGTCCTTACCCCTCATCTGCTGTTTCTCCCTCGCAAACCTCACCTTATGGCCCCGAAACAAAGTTGCCCTACCTCTCGAAGAGGCATCCAAGAAACTGCTGTTGAACAAACTCCTCTACAATTGATGGATACCTTTGATCCCTATACAGGTATCCCCTCCCATTGATCCATCCATTCATCCCTTGACATATCTACTGATCCATCCATTCATCCCTTGATATATCTACAACCTATCCTTAGCTTAAGACCATGGGGTTGGGTATTCTTCCTCTCCCAACCAAATACATAAAGTTGGATAATTATTTGAATAAACAGAGCAAGTGTGTCTGGAAATTAACAGGCCATTACTCTTCCATCAACTATGATATTACTCTTCCATCAACTATGATAAACCATCCTACTCCAAGACTCTTGGTGGAGTGCATTCTTCTTTATGAATATCATCTCTTGGAATGTTTTAGGCCTTGGCTTTAAAGAAAAGAGAGCCCGTATCAAAAGAATCATCCAAAAGCACAATCCTACCATAGTGATTCTCCATGAAACAAAAGTCGATAGGGTGGATAGACTCTTCGAGCTCTAGGAAGTAGGACCTTGGCTTGGACACTCCAAGAATCTATTGGCTCATTTGGGGGTATAATGATTTGTTAGAATAACCCATATATTGATGTTTCGATCAGGGAACCTTCACTCTCTCTCTCCTTGTTACTCTTGCAGATGGCTATAATTTTTGGCTCACATGGGTATATGGTCCCTCCAAAGCAAAGGAAAGGTAGCGCTTCTAGGAAGAGCTATATGATCTTACTTGCCTCTGTACCAACGGCTTGATTTTAGGGTGCGATTTCAACATTACCCGTTGGTTACAAGAAAAGTCCAGCTAGAGGAGGCAAACTCGAAGCATGCATCTCTTCTATCTCTTCATAGAGCAATTGGGGGCTTAAGGAATATCCATTATCCAACGGGCTTTTCACTTGGTCTAATTTAAGGGAATCTCCACTATCCAATCATCCACCTTGTAAGAGGTACAAATGGAGATGCAAAAATTCGTGAGAACAAAAAACCAAACTTTTTGGGCAAACGAACAATGCAAGAATAAATGGTCAAGGGTCTCCTCTTTTGAAGTACACAAGGTGCCGAGGGGGCAAGGGACCAATGAGGGAACCTTCTTCGGAGTCCATAGGCAGTATTTAAGCCTCTATAGAATAAAGACCTAAGAAATTTTTTTATCACCTTTGGAATTTTGAAATTCCAAATAGTCAAAACCACCAACGAGTTCAATCTAGCTGTAGGAGATTTGAGGGAGAAAGTTGAACTCACAATATACTGTTTCCATCCTTCCAAAGCAGTCTGGCAGCCCCCATCCTAAGTAGAAGGAACCAAGTTTTTCAGTAAACAGAGCCCAACTTTAGAGTTCTCTATCAAAGAGATTTCTCCTAAAGCCTACCAGGTGAGGGAATCTTCCACCCCACAGCAATGAAGCTTTCCTTTGAAGACAAAATGTACAGATT